GCCACAGAGTCAGAATCGGAAATGGCCAAGCCGGGCCTTGTCTCTAGTTTTTAAGAACTGGAGATCCAAAAAAATACAATCGACCTGATTGGCTCTCACTCCGTACTAAACTGGTTTAAACTTTATACAATTAAAAATCCCTACTTTATATAAACATAATTGATCTTTAATATCCTATCTATTTGTTCAGTGCTCATAGGTTCTTTTTCCCAAAATATCTTATTTAGACTATTTCCATGACTCCTGTGTTTTATGCAACAAGTGGTGTCAAAAACATTTTAAGGTTAATCTTATAATTACAGAAGTACATTGTTATTGTTGGTTCTAATGCTGGAAATAAATGTTTTTATCCCAATATGCCTTAACACTACGTATTTACAATATACAGGTTGTGTATCTAGACTAAAATATTTACAGAGTATACATCTCAAGGTTGTTATTTAGAGAATAAACGTAAGTACTGTGAATTCATACGATTACAACTAGTTCCTAAAGACCTACACTTTCAGAACTGTACATAACATAGTAAAGTACATGTACTGGGTGTTCATATGGCTGCTACATTAAATTACACCTGTGGAAATGTATGTGAAATTATTGTGACTTTATATAAGATGTTACAACTTAACCGGTTTCACTTTTTTCCGGTTTTTGCCAGCACTACTCTTGACTATTATCTTTGGGGACATATGAAAAGTCTAGTGTATTGTGTATTCAAAACCACAAACCAGAGATGAGCTAATTCAAAATAACGAGCGTTCAAATAAAAACGTGGTCAAGTTGGTTCTGAAAATTTGGACGTAGGGCGTAGCGTATAGCAAATGAACTTAAACGTCATCTGTCAAAGCGCTATATCGCCGCTATCAATTTGAATATTTTCGTTTTAAAAAGCGTTTAAAATGGTGTTTTCTCAAGAACAAAAAGTGTTTATCACAGAGTCCTACTTTAGAAATGGACGCAAGATTGATGGAATATGGAAGTATTCTATTGAGGAATGTTTCATAGAATTTCAAAATCAATTTCTCGGCGTTGTTGAGTACAACATTTTTCAAAGTGCAGTTCAGCGTTGTGTTAATGTTTTTCGTGAAACGGGCAGTGTAACAAGAAAAGAAGGAAGCGGCCGACCTAAAAAGCGGACTGAAGAATTAAAAGAAAATATCCAACAAATAATGGAAAATGCGCCAAGAACTTCTGTACGTGTTTTATCACAAATGGTGGGAGTATCAGTCGGTAACTGCCACACAGTGTTAAAAAGCTCCTTTAATTGTTTGTTATTGTTATCACGATTATTCTTTAAAATAAAGTTATATAGTCATTAACGTTATTGAAACTGACAGCTGCTATACAGCTCGTTGAGAAATGAGGTTAAGTTGGTCGCTATAAGCTACTCCCTACGTCCAATGTGTCAGAGCCAACTTCGACCACGTTTTTATTTGAACACTCGTTATTATGAACCAGATACTCTTCAGAGAGCTATGTCTTCAATTATTAGAAGAGCAAGAATGTGTTGTGAGCCAGCGGGGAACATTTTCAACCAAACCTTTAATTAAATTTCTGTTAGCAATAAAAAAATTCGTAATTAATAAAACATTACATTACTTTATTCAACGTGCTCTTTACTTTACCAGATTTATTTACTGTTAAATTTAATTTTGCCCATAACTCCTTAACTATTGAGTTTTGAACAAAGTGTATAAGGAACTTTTGACTTAAAATTGTCCATGGAATACGACCTTAAGCTATGGCCATCGAGTCACGGGCCACCCTGTATAAGATTGACGTCCGGGGGAGCCTCGACTTATTTCAGGTGACACTAGCTTATTGTTGAAGAAAGAACAATAATATATGTTAATATAATGGAAATGTATGGAGGGATATATACAGGGTGGCCAAATGAAAACGAAACAGAGGCATTTTCAGGAACTGCGTCAAGATTGTAGAAAAATGCTCAGACCCGTCGATTTTAGATTAAAGGGGGACATTCTTTGCTGGTATTTTTGACTCCACCACTTTCACCCCCAAGCAAGGGTAAGCATCACCCCAAAATATTTAAATGGCATTGGAAGTTGAGTAATATTTCTTTTGAAAGCTTTTACAATTCTCTTTACAACAGACTTTAAATTTTATAATTCCGCCCAATACTTTGAAAAAAATTTACATTATAAAATTTAAATTGTTTAGTTGCTTACTTATTACTTAGTTGATTAAATGTTCAAACTGATGACCGTCCGCTTCCATAGAAGAATAAAGATTTTGTTCGAAACGTTCGCGCACATTCTGAAGCAATTCCGGTGTGATTCGACGGCATTCGTCGACGATTCTTTGACGCAAATCTTCCAGCGACGCTGGCTGTGTTTTATAGATTTTACTTTTCAGGTATCACCACAAAAAGAAATCAAGGGGCGATAAATCCGGTGATCGTGGAGGCCACTCAATGCTGACTCTTCTCCCAATCCAATTCCGTAGAAAACGTTGATCCAAATACTGACGGACAATTAACGTACAATTCGGAGGAGCACCGTCCTGTTGAAAAATCAAATGATCTTCATAATACTCTGGAACATTTTCAATAGGTAATATCAATCAAGGCTGGGTTAATAGCGTCTTCCAGTAATTGCAAATACAATTGGCCAGTCAAATTACCAGGTAGAAAAAAAGGACCCACCAGCCGGTCACCGAAAATTCCAGCCCATACATTTAATTTTTCCGGTTGCTGTGTATGCACCTCGTGA